CAAACAAGTTAACCGGTAGTTATTGGAAAATTGAGCTACAATAAGTTGTTCATCATTTTCGAAGAAGAATATTGTGGCTATTACTAGTTGTGTTATTTGGTCCTCTCTTTTTATTGGAGTGTGGAGAGAACGTTGTAGGAGGGAAGCTTACAGGAGGGGCATTATCTGTTGTTGTGCTGTTAAATTGGCTCGAGGATGAAGTGAAAGGTATAGCTGGTGTAACCAAGATGGCTAATTTCTCGGTGGATGCAAGATGAGGAAAAGAGTCCCAAAATGAGTGCTTTTGGGTTCTAGTATGACTATAATAGTATAATAACTTATAGTTGAGATTAGTTTGATAGAAGTTTGACAGTATTTTTTTGACGTTGTATACTCTTAGTTAGAAGAGAGTTGCTAATAACTACTTCCTTTGATGAAATAATGTAACTATGGGGTGTAAGTTTGACCCTTAAAACCCACTGACCCGCTCCGATCCGTCCCGACCCTCAGGGTCGGACTGGGTCAGTTTGTCTATAGGGCCAATTTAGGGTCGGGTCGGCTTAGGGTCGGGTCAGGGTCAGATAGGGTCGGGTCAATTTAGGGTCGGGTCACTTTTTGACCCTATTGACCCTTAGCATCATACAAACATGGTGGACCTATTTGTAAAATTTTATAAGTTTAGGTACTAAATTTTAAAAATTAAAAAATTTAGGTACAAAAACGTAATTTTACCATAAAATTTTAGGGACTTATTTATAAAAAAATAAAATTAGGTACTAAAATGTAAGAAAAAATAAATTCCGCTACCAAATTGTAATTTTTAGAAAAGTAGTCTATTTATTAGGGTCGACCCACTGACCCGACCCTTCCTGACCCGCCCGACCCTAAAGGGTCAGACAGGGTCATGAAAGAAACAAGGTCGGGGCGGGTCAGACAGAGTCAGGGGCGGGTCGGGCAAATTTTCAGCCCTAAATGTAACACCGATTTATAAAAAAATAGAAAAAAATAAAAAGAATTTTAATCTCAACATTTAGATGTAGTCCTACTCAAAATTATAATACCTAGTCTAACTATGCATAATTGAATATAATCAAGAATCATACGTCATATTGTAGCGCTCACTGCACTTTTCCACAATATTTGATAGTTGCCTATTTCCACTTCATATATAAATTTATAAACAAAAATTCCAAGCTATACGTCCTTCCATACCCATTGAAGGTAAAAGTTGGCGCATTGCATGAGGCATTAATTTGCTTCTGTCCCATTGGGTCCCGACAGTCGCAGCAATCAGAATTCAGACGGTGGTTGGGTAACTTGTCGTTGCCGGCGGGCAGCACGTGATACTCTCGTCGCTTAACCAACCGAGGCTTACAAATGATGGTCGAATTGAAAATTTACATGGTGTTTACAAGATTTCTGTCTCACTCATGTGTTAACAATTTTGTCATTTTTATGTTTTCTTCTTATGTTAATTCTCGTTATTTTTTTGAATATGATTGTGAGAATATGATGTTTAGTGACTTCCGAAGGACTACAATAATTATTATTACTATTATTATTCTATCAAGTGGAACCTCTAATAAGAGGTAATATAAAGCAAGTATTTCAAATCAATTCGAGTGGCTTATCTATCTTTACTTCAACAAATTATTCATTATCCACTAAATCAATTAGTGTTTCAATTACTTACAACTAAGCAAGTATGAAAGTAAATGAGGTTGGTTTCAATTGAGAAAAGATTCACCAGGATGTGCTTCCCCCTAGTCTACGTTGTATCGACGTTGCGACACCCTAATTCGATCCATTTTAACCTATACCACGGGGAGTTCTAATCTAGATTGGTGTCCCTATTCGGGTTATCTAATCCTGATCAAATTATACTAACAGGAGAGGTGTACCTACAAACGACCCAGGTAATTGAGACAATCACAAGTAACTCCCACAATTGGGTAAAACTCGCTACGACATTAAGGATCCAATCACACTTGTTCATAGACCCAAGTGATGAATTGACATGCTCTTAATCAACCTAGGGAAATATTCTCTTTTCCATGTCAATTAGCCCCAAATGGATTAAAGAACCATCAATTTCATGAATAATACTCAGTATATGTTAGGATCTCTTGTTCTTGATTGCTTATCATTCGATTTCATATGTGTTTATGCGAGAGCACTCGTATATGTTATTTGTATCATTCTTTATATATGACGATGGGAAATGTATGATCATTGATTATTGATTATTGTCTTTGATTGCACTCTAGAGATAATTACTAGGTCACTAGTGCAATAACATTGGTTGAATCAATCAACCTTACATGTTATTTATTAGGGTAATGACTATTTATTAGCCAAACATTTTTCGGATTCTTTTTTACTATAGTCAAACCTATCAAAATACTAAGAATTAGTCAAATGTTAACTTTCAGTTAGCAATTTTGTAGTAAAATTGACTTGGCAACATGATACTGACTTGGAGAGACACATGAAGGTGAACATTCCAAAATTTTAGTATTTTAACTAAGAAAAGAGTTACAAAATTATTAACAATGACGTAAAAATTGCTAATATTTTGATGCATTACGAAAGATTTGGCTAATTAATAGCATTTTAATAGGTTTGGATAATATAAAAAATTTTAATAAAAAATAAACATTACCCTATTCATTATATACCCGTGTTTATAATTGATCTAAGGCATTATGCGAGAGCTTGCTTAAGTTAATTTATTTTTTCTATTGCATGATGCAACATCGCGAGTAAAAATAATTCGGAAGAGGATTGAGATCGATTAAATCATAGAAATAAAAACATTGTTTATGAATGTTAATTGTTTGATTGCATGCTAAATTATAAGTGAAACTATCCCAAACAATGCCTTACTTCCTGATTTCCTAAACCCCTTACTCCTTTCTCTCTTTTACTACTTGTTTTTACTTTCTGCCTTTAATTTATTGCTAACTCTTATCACCCTTACTTCTTGCACTTCACTTTCTATTGATTGGAATTTGGCGCTAGAGGCACCTCAACCCCACGTAATTACTCTAAATACAAGTAACTAGTACGAAATAGAGAAATTGTCGGAGGCCCTGCAAAATACGGGGAAAGTTAATCTGCTAACTTGAAGATTCGTTAGCAGATACTAATTGATATTCAAATTACATAATTAATATCCAAGTACTAAATTATCTAGAGAGCATAGACTAGTATTCAAAGTTTGCTAACTGATATCCACCATGAATCAATTATTATCCCAAATTCACAAACTAATATCTAGACAACATAGAATAGTATCCAAACAGCACATAATTAGTATCAAGATAACACATAAGAGTATCCAGATAACCCATAAGAGTATCCATATTGAATACTAGTTGGTTGATTGTGGATATTAGTTGGTATCTGCTATCTGGATACTAGTTTGTGATGTTTTGAATACTAGTTTGTGATATCTAGATACTTAGCAAACTTGGATATTAGCTCATACATTTTAGATATTAGTTAGTATATACTAACGAATCTTCAAGTTAGCAGATTAACTAGGCCGGCAAAATACGAGCTATACATGATCTAGGATTTACTTTTTTGGGACATGATCTAGGAAAGGAGAGAAGATTAACAAAGTCGATCGAGCAATTGTCTACATTAATGTATTAAAATTTTTGATTTTAATATGAAAATCTGACGATTTTATTTATGAGTTTCGATCTTGATTTTACTAAAAAAATTTTGTACCTTAAAATCATATAAATTCCCGATTTAAAACTCTAAAATCCTTAAATTTTACGATTTTTACGATTTTGAACGATTTCAAGTTTCGTGTCAATTTGAGCAAAATTAGGCCGGCCAGGTTGGGTTTTGCCCATGAACAGGGTCAAGTTTACTTACCCCAAGCCAACATAATGAACAACATAGTCCTAACTCGATAGGCGACCATCAATTTATTTTCGTTCTCTTCCTCATATCTTCCGCACACCGACACCCAACTCTTTCCATCAACAATTTCTTCCACCCTTCCAATTAGCTCATAGTTTGTTCCCGCCTCCATCACAATTATCTCAATCTTCTTTCCATTCCAAGCTTTTGTTCATATCCCAATCCTTCAACACCAGTATCCCCGACCTTTTATCGATTAAGAAGGGCAGCATCAATCAATGAGTTATCATTGCCAGATGATGGTGAGCAAAGAAATATGATTAAAGGTGAAAGTACTTCAAGTGATATTGAGAATAATGATATCATTCCTCAAGCAAATAGACAAGGATTTTACAAGAATGAGAGTGAGGATGAGGTATGTGTGAGGGATGTTAATGTTGATCCTTACGATCTTATGTGAATTTATACTCTTAACTATCAACTTAATTAAGTGATTTCTATGAGATTTTGGGTTACTTATTTGTGTGTTTATGTAATATACAAGAATAAATCTATGGATTTAGTTGTATTTATTTAGTAAACAAACTAATCTTGGAAGTAATTAGGTTATATGAGGTCGACAGTTATTCAGGATATGCACTGTTATTATATGGTGTTTGAGTATTTATTTTAATACAAATCTTAAAATATTGCGATTTTACGATTTTAATCTACGATTTCGATTTTACCTTAATTTTTTATTTTACTTAAAATCACGATTTTGACTGCATTGGTCTACATACCATGAAGGAGAGTTCAGTGATTTTGATTGGGTTAATACCTTATTATGGCCTGAACTATGACCATGTAATCAACTTTGGCCCGTGGTTTGAGAAATTAACATCCTGACTCGAACTATGCAGCATATAGACAGAATTGGCCTGGAGCGTGGTTTGACCGTTTGTTTGGATGGTCAACACCGTTGACCGATAGTCAACTGTCCAGGTCACTGCCATGTCAGCACAAAAAAATTATAATTTCAATTTTTTTTTTATTTCCTTTACAAAATTGAATAATAAAGAAACAAATTAAAAAAAATAATAAAAACGATAACTTTTGGCCACCCATCCCCACCTTATCCCCTCACCTTCTTTCCTTTTCGTTCAAACCCAGACTAACCCTATCTTCCATCTTCTTCCCCGAGAACTGCTCGTTCTTGATCCTCCTTGCCAGGTCAGTGTCGATGTTGAACGCCTCGGCCAAGAACTGCTCGTAGAAGGCTTGGAAGATGTTGTCGGACCGTTGCTCCTGGCCTCCAGCGCCGCCGCCTCTCCCCTTCTCAATTCCACGGTACAGGTGCCTCGAAGGCTGTCCCCTCTGCCCTTGGATTCTCTCTGCGGGTTCCCTGCCAGGAAGAATTTCTGAAAACCCACCCAATTTAAATAAAAATCAAATCGTCAGTGACTATGTTGAATCAATTGGCGGAATGAAATTGAAATTTTACTCAAATGAACGAATGAATTACCGTGAAGTTCTGGTCGAGCTGGTTGGCGAAGTTGCTAGTGTCCATGATCTGGACAAGAACCAGAGGAGACTGACCGTCGTTGTAGAACCAGTCTGCAACTCTAGCTGGGATGGCAATTATATCGCCTTGTCGGATCTTCCGGATCTTCTGATGTTGATCTCTTGATCCTTGATTCAGACTCCTGCTCGGATTGGTAAGTCTCGGGGCAGCCCGGAATCGCTGCGCTGTGATACTGATACCCTCTCCCTGCACTCCACATTTGAAAAACAGAGCAAGTATATGAAAAACAAAGTCCATAATGGAAGATAGGGTTTTTTTGGGTTTGATCGAAAAGGAAAGAAGGCGAGGGGATAAGGTGGGGATGGGTGGCCAAAAGTTATTGTTTTATTATTTTTTTTAATTTGTTTCTTTATTATTCAATTTTGTAAAGGAAATAAAAAGAAAATTGAAATTATAATTTTTTTGTGCTGACATGGCAGTGACCTGGACAGTTGACTAACGGTCAACGATGTTGACCGTCCAAACAAACGGTCAAACCACGTTCCAGGCCAATTCTGTCTATATGCTGCATAGTTTGGGCCAGAATGTTAATTTCTTAAACCACGGGCCAAAGTTGATTACATGGTCATAGTTCAGGCCATAATAAGGTATTAACCCATTTTGATTCACCCCTTTGTAAATCTAAATCACTAGACCATGATTTTCAACTAACCACAAGTTGAAAGGTCCGGAAAGAATGAACTTCGACACTCTTCCTGTACTAAAGATCTACGAGCTCACCGTGACAAACAACCATTCGAATACCAGCTCGAAGAATGGTTTCGGTGCGCTTACGTTGTTTGAATATTCACGACCCAAGCTTCAAACATTGCATCCTACATTGTTTTCCCACCCACCAACATCGAGCTGAGCACATCGTTGATACAGATGGTGCAACAAGCTTCTTATGAGAAGCAAGAATTGTAAAATCGTACCAGAGATCGTACTCGATAAGTTAAATAGGTATTGTGTTGTTAAATTGTGGTTAGACTCTTTCATACTGGTTAAATCCTATACCGATTCAGTTTCACATATAAAAAAAATCTCGATTGCACCGTCGGTACGATATACGATCTATAGAAAACATTAAAACAATGATGACCCAGTACAACACTAACACAATGGGTGGAATGATACAAATGGTTAAAAAGAGTTACTATCTGTTCGAGAGAGAGAAGGAAATAAAAAAACATGGGGCCAACCAGAAATGTAACAAATTTCGGGTGGCTGAGCGTCAAAAACAAATTTCGGTGGCTGAGCCTCAAACAAAAATATTTTCGGTAGTTGAGAAGATGACTCACAACTCTCACCGACAACAGATTCACTTCTAGTGTTGGAAACTCTTCTTTTTCACTATAAAAAGTAAAAACCCGCAGGGAGCTGTGGAACTAAGAAACTCACTCACTCCCCTTCGTCTTCCTAAACAAAAACACAATGGGTGCAGGCACCGGTACAGAGTCGCCGCCGGCGCCAGCCGAGCTTCACGTCGCTCTGTTCCCGTGGTTCGCATTCGGCCACATTTCCCCCTTCATCCAACTCGCCAACAAGCTTTCCCTCCAAGGCGACATCCGCATTTCCTTCCTCTCCGCCCCGGGCAACATCCCCCGCATCTCTGCCTCCCTCCTCCCTTCCCCAAAAACCCAAATTATCCCTCTCCCCATCCCCGCCGTCCCCGGCCTTCCCCCGGGCCTCGACAGCACCGCCGACCTCCCTCCGCACCTCGCCGACCTCCTCAAGATCGCACTCGACCTGATGCAGCCACAGGTGAAGGACATCCTGCTCCACCTCGACCCTCATTTCGTCTTCTTCGACCACGTCCAGCACTGGCTCCCCAAATTGGCCTCCCACCTCGGGATCAAAACCCTAAGCTTCACCGTCTTCTCCGCCATCTCCACCGGCTACCTCACCGTCCCCGCGAGGATCCACGGCGGGACGACGATCCCCTCGGTGGACGACCTGAAGATCCCACCTGCAGGGTACCCTGCCTCCACGTCGTCATTGGCCCGAATGCAGACGTTTCAGGCTCGGGACTTCGCTTACGTGTACATGAAGCTAAACGGCGGCGTGACATCGAGCGTGATCGATCGCGTCCTCGAGTGTCGCGAAGCTGCCACTGCGCTGGTGTTCAAGTCCTGCAATGAGATGGAAGGTCCGTACCTGGACTACTTAAGAACCCAGTTCAAGAAACCGATTCTCTCGGTCGGACCGCTCGTCCCCGAGCCGCCCTCGGGTGTGCTCGAGGAGAATTGGGCTGCCTGGTTGGGGAAGTTCCCATTTGGGTCCGTCACATTCTGCAATTTCGGCAGCGAGACGTTCCTGACCGACGAGCAGATACGTGAGCTCGATGCTCGGTCCGAGCTGCCTTTCGTTCTGGTGCTGAATTCCCGGCCCAGCTCGATGCTCGGTCCGAGCTGAATCGAGCGCTGCCGAAGGGGTTCTTGGAGAGGGTGAAGGGCAGAGGAGTTGTGCACACTGGCTGGGTGCAGCAGCAGCTCATACTAGCACATGGTAGCGTGGGATGCTACCTTTGCCACTCAGGATTCAGCTCTCTGATCGAAGGGATTGTGAACGACTGTCAGCTCGTGTTGCTGCCGCTGAAGGGGGATCAGTTCTTGAACGCCAAGTTGGTGGCTGGAGACATGGAGGCTGGCGTCGAGGTGGATCGGAGGGACGAAGACGGATATTTTGGAGCGGAGGATGTTTGCAGAGCTGTTAAGATGATCATGGTGGATGTTGACGAGGAGCCTGCCAGGTCCATAAGGAAGAATCATGCCAAGTGGAAGGAGTTTCTATTGGATGGAGAGGCTCAGGGTAAGTACGTTAGAGACTTGGTGGCAGAGCTCAGGGCTATGCTAGTGTCGTCGTCTTCTTCGATTGCGTAAGGCTTTTGCTTGGACTGCACCATGGATCTTGTTCGAGGACGAAGTTCTGTCATTTCTGTTTTAATACATTGTCGCACTGCAAGCTTAGAGTGCATTTAAGTTCTAAGGCCGGTTCAGATCTTGTTGTAGCTGCAACTGTGCTAGGGCACGCAACAAGAAAGAAAGAACTGGCAATTAGAACAAGTCAGTATCCCCTCCTTTGTTGGCAAAGAATAAAAGTATCTTTATGCTTTCTGTCTGTTCCCCAGATTTCCCTTCTGGTTATCTTGAGATTCAGTTACAACAGTGCAATCAACGCCCCAATGTTTCCTTCAAAATGCTGGTAGTTGGAGCAAGCCAGCTGGCACCTATCAAATTCCTAAATGACACTTTACAGAAGAGAGTAATATAAGAATTACAAATCTTGCCTATAGCTATACACCCGCCTTATTAGGTCAGTTCACTTCCAGAGATATCAGTCAGAGGTAATGAGTTTGCTGCAAGGGGGACGACATCGCCAACAATGGATATTCTAAGATGTTGGGTTGAAGTGATGCAATTGCAAACCCGGATGACTGCGGGACACCGACTGACGGATGCTGAAGTGAACTGTGAAGAACGAGGTCAAAATGTCAGGCAATTACGGCCGATGTATTCCTAACAAGACATGAATTGGTTTCCAGTAACAAGAGTGACTAACCTGAATGATAAAGATAGAGATGACTCCACATTAGGGTGAATCCGGTTTTGAGCAGGAGAGACAAGGGACCAGAATACTGATGACATATGTGAAAGGACAATGGTTTAGCAGATAACAGAGAGCATTTAAAGGTAAACCGTAAACATGATTAGATGAAATCAAACTAGTTATTGATCAAGGTCTGGTTTACAGAGGGCAGTACACCAAGGAAAATCACCTGACTGGTCTTGATGATCCTTCAAATCGGAACAAAACAAAATGTCCTGCATTTAAGAAGACGAACAGAAGTTCAAAGTTAATGTTATGCCTTAGGGCTTAGTGAAAAAGTACAGACGTCTATTTCCTAGTACCCAAAAACGCACCTTTTCCATGCCTTGAGAAATATTGTGCACTCTCTCTGCAGAAAACAAGTTTTCGGGTTAGACAGATGTGCTTTTCGTTTGAATGCGTGGCGTGGTGGAGGGAGACATTAAAAGTTAGTTTCCCCAACCAGCATGCAGACCCTTCGGTTTGTGAACACAAATAGGCAATTTGCAAAATAATCGAAGGTGAAGATAGTGTTTACCCAAGTTCGAGGCACTGGGCTTCACTGCCAGGGTTAATCCCAGGAAACAGTCATCATTTTGTGCACCAAAATCCCAGAGGTTTAATTCCAGGTTTGGCATTGCCCCTGTTAGATGACATCAGAAGAAAGCGATCAACTAATAGAACAGGGAGATACTCTCATCAAAGCTAGAATTATACAAAGACTCACCAATATTGTTCAGGCTGAGTTCAAGCGGGTCTCGGAGCGGGTAAGGAACTCTCATAGCAACCTATTCAAACAAAATTAGTAAATACATATTTTTTACACCAATACTAAATAAGTTTTCCATAAAAATAAAGTAAAATTAAGGTTTAAGCGCAATTAAAATACATGGAAAAACGGATGTTGTAGAGCCTGATCAGCAGTTGGTCTCTTATGTGGGTCCCAGGAACACAGTTGCTTTCAAAAGGAAATAGGAAGTAGAAGAAATTAGCAAAATAGGTTAGTTGGGTTGAATTGTAAGCTTTGTAAATAGCTGGACTAGTAGGAAGCAGAGTTCATTCAGTATTCACCACAATCAGATCAAGCGCTTCCGAGCTGCCATTGGGTATGATTTCAGATAAATTAGCTGGTGTAATCTGCCAGAACATTAAGCATAAGTGATAAGACAGAAGCAGTTTAGTCAACAAGAAAGCAAACCTTTTTTTTAAGTTTTGCGGAAGTACTTCAGCTTACCTCTGAGTGGCTGATATTTATCAATCGAGATATGTTTGTAGCCTCAGGAAACGTATTCCAATCCGGCGAACCCAAAATGCAGCAAATCTTGTATAGTTGATCAAGTTCACTGCCCACACATAATATTAAATTAAATTTCAGGATTTATATTACCCCACTCCAGATACTAAAAACTTACAAAACCAAACTGCATAGCATGGTTCACGAAATACTAAATGCATTTTAAGATAAGCGCATAGATAGTTATAGTTAAAAAGACTATTATGCGTACCAAATCTTTGCATACTCATTGCCCACCCATATTAGATAAGATAAGATTAAAAAAACAGCACAAAAAAGCAATATAATACCAGTTATGTATTAAAAAAGTTTATGCAGGACACTCATATAGATAGAGATATGTGGACAAGTTGACAGAATTACAATTTTAAGGCATTACAACCACCGTCCAACAAAATAGATAAGTTTCCCAGGAATGCATTTTGTATCTAACACGAGAAGGGAAGTTTGAAACTATGTGGAAGCATAAATGGCTAACATGAAAAAGAAAGAAAATAATCTATCAAGTTTCAGACAGCAATGAGACATTACAACATTCAGATTACCTTTCTCCAGGGAAGATAGGTGATAAAGTGAATAGCTCAGCAAGTATTGCGCCAACCGCCCACATGTCTGCATATAGTTTAGTTGTTAGTTATAATAAATGGGATCACTAAGAAGTAAGAATAACGGAAACATGAAAATGCAACGGCCCGTTAATTGCAGAAAAGAGGAACAATAGCATATAGTGGCATCTGAACAAGAGATCCTACTACGACAGATCATATAGCATTTCACAGCGAGATCCTGACGCAGAGAAGTCACCACAGTAGATATAGAAGGAGAACTGAAGCATACCAATAGCTGGAGTGTATACTGATGACTGCAACAAAACTTCTGGAGCACGGTACCTGCAGAACATGGTATTTCTTCAAACATAAAACAACCCCCTTTAAGGTGCATTAAATTAAACAAGACAATCAAAATATAAATGGTCACTCAAGCAACTTCGGAACTTGATTTACCATCTCGTCGAGACATATTCAGTATAAGGAGGCTGTGATGAAACTTCTCTAGCCAGTCCAAAATCAGCAATTTTTAGAACTTCGTTCGTCACCAGCAAATTTTCTATAATAGAAATGCTTCGAGTTATGACTTTACCTCACAATAAACTTCTAGAAGAAGAACCAGAGCATTAACCTGAACACAACTTCATAAGTAAAAGTATCTTACCAGGTTTTAGATCACGATGAAAATATCCATTTTTATGCATATTGGAAAGTCCTTGTAGCACCTGGGACATAAAACTCCGTATTTCTTTCTCTGAGAAAGGCCTTTCTCGTTCCTTCATTATTTGGTACAAATTGTGTTCCTGGAAAATGGAAAAGCATCACTCACTAATAGTCCTCAAAGTCGGCAAGTTGGGGAGTGCTAAAATGAAGAAAATTGGCTCGCTCATATCACGGAGAATAAACACCGAAAATAAAATTGGAAAATCTCAAGGAAATCGTTGTGAAATGCTGAAGGAGAAGTGAAAGGAGCAGATTAAACGGAACTGTGGATATTGAAACTACCAAATAATTTCTATATTAGAAAAATGTTTTACTCAAAAAGTGAGCATTAGTCATCACTGATATCAAATAATAGCTCAAGGGTACTAGGAGCAGTATGACTATGATGGTTGATAATCTCATTAATGTGGATAGGGAACACAAATCATACATATTAAGAAATTAAAGCGAAAGCTGCATACCATGTACTCAAAGATGAAAAATAGTTCATTGTTCTCCCGGACCACCTCTTTCAACTTTATGATATTGGGATGATTCAATTTTCGAAGGGCCTGCAAAAGATAGTGTTCAAGACCATTTCCTTACTGGAAACCTGAGAATAAAGAAGATGATACATAATTTGGGTATGTACCTTCACTTCTCGTAGGTTCATACACTCTTCCCAAAAATAGAACTTCCGTTTCATTTTCTTCACAGCAACCTATGATAATAATGCAATTGTTAGATTTCATCTAAAGGCAAAACAATAATACATGTTTTTAGAACAAAAATTGTACATATTAATGTCATCCAAAATGCAACTTTCAGTATGATCATGCGATGGAAGATTTCTCGGTAAGCAACAAATGTTAATTACAAATTAGGAAAGACCTCAATCAGAAAGAATAAAAATTACCCAACATTGACTTTATCTTGTTCCGCCTGGTTCTCAAGCACCGTATTTTAGGATCTAACAGAAATGACTAGGTTGGTGATGCTTTTCACAACAGAACCATTGTAAGCAACACCTCAAGACATACTTGACTCTCCAATATTTGTGTTGACTATTGCTTAAACATTTAGCAGAAAACTCACAATTTCAGTACTAGATAGCTCTGATTACAAAAAATATGTTATAGTATAAAAGTGAAAAAACATATGGTCGGACCCAAAAGAGGAACAAAAATAAAGAAGATAGAGCTTTACTTACAATTTCACAGGTGTCTGTATTAATGGCCCTAAATACACTACCACAGGTGCCATCACCGAGCTCTTCCAACATTTTATATCTGGATAAATTTATAAATTATCAATAAGGAGAAGTCTGGGATAAACATCATAGAAGAGCAGCTTAAACGTGAGAAGTGGACTAGTGAGCTACATACCTTTCCATTATTGAAGTTCCAGTAGGTGACAATTAAGAAACTGTCAGAGGACTTTGGTGAACCTCCTAAAAGTGGGCTCTACTCTTCTGCTAGTGTGCAAGTTACTAACTGGCACGAATGCTCCAAGGCTAAACTGTAGCTTGTTATGTACAACTTCGACAAGAACCCGATAGTCATCATAGGACCAGTTATATACTGGTGCAACTATAATCAACATTCTTAGTGCAGCTTCTACAAGCTGCAATGATCTCGTATCATTTAAAGTAACCAGTCAACGACCAACTATAGAGCTCCACCAATCAAACTTGAAGTCAGCATGCCAACTAATCTGGTAGTGTTCGCTCTCCTATCATATGCTCCTCTGTCCAAAACCAGCTAAACTGCAATCCTGAAATGAGAATAAAAGAGGGAAAAGAAAATCTTAGATTTCTAACCAAAAAATCGGCCGACTGCTGCACAGGACATGGGGAAAGGGGAAGAGTAGTTCAAAGATCTTTACACTATCAAACTCTCTACACTAGAAAGACCACCAACAACATAAAGAAAATGACTGGTCTAGGAAACACCCATTAGTAGTAGAATTAGCAATGCTTGCAGAACACCGCAACGTCTTATGCTTTAAAGGAAACCAACGTGCACATATCATCCATGAAAAAGCACCAGAAAACACAGAAACAGAACCAAAATCACCAGGAAACAGAGAATGAGTATTTAGGGATGCAATCGGCTGGCACTTGAAAGTATTAATATCATATCTTGATATTCAACTAGAGAGCAAGAGAGACTCGCTAATTTCAAAAGAGGGTTCTTGTTCAAGTTCTTAAAGTTTTATTTCTTCTATTTCAATTTCGTAAATGAATTCCCCCTGAACTGTCCAGTCCTAAGAAAATCAAGGTTCCCAAAGATGAAATTTTCTTAAGATGGAAGAGATTCCCAGAAGGAGGTGTAAACTTAGCACCCTAAAAAAGCCGCATCAATTCAATGAGGAAAACCCCTCACCTATGATTGAGGGAATATGAATATTAGAAGATAAAACAATGAAACAGTTGAAGATTTCTTACAATTGGAATCAATCGTCAACAAATAAATAGAAGAACGAAAAATCATCAATCGCCAATCCAAAGTATATAGGGTCGGACTGCTATTTGCTGAATAGATGTCCGAAATTGACGACCATCGGCAAGCTGCAACGCAGAAGTCCAAAAGCAGACGAGGAGAAACACAACTTCAAGAAAAAGAAAAGACCGTAGAGGAAAGACGAAGCTAAGAGAATCTTAAAGCGTACGCTACCGACGTCGACCTCCTCAACAGCTCAATTCAGAGTTTCAGACCATTAATTGTTCTGTAAGGACTGAATCAAATGAAACACGGAAATCACTCCGCTCTTCTCTTTTCTTTTTTCTTTTTCATCTACTCCCTCCCCTTTTCCTTTTTATCTCGCGCTTTCTCAGAAACCAAACAGAACTCAGACTGGGAAAGAGGGGAGAGAAACCGAAAACTCCAGCTACATTACCGATAGCGAAAAAAAGAGAAAAAAAGAGCTCATAAACCCGTAATTGCGAGCCTCGGCGTTGCAAAGCCATGAAATCAGATACGCGGAAACACTGCGAAACTGAACAATCCAACAGAGACTGGACAGAGAACTCACCTTGGATGCTCGCCGGACACCCTGGAGGGAGAAAGCGATCCAAAATGAAGAAGAGGGATCACCAATGGAAGAGAGATTCTCGCCGAAGGGAACTAGAAAGAAGGATTTGGAGAGGAAGAGAGAAATTTAGATAACTGAAGAAACCATGAGAGGGGATTCCGCAGAAACGAAGGAGAAGAAACCGAAGAAATTTTCATGAAAAAGGAAAAGGAAGGAGGAAGGCAAATTGTCAATTAAACTATTGAATAAACAAATTCTTTTGCTTTTGGTTTTTCTTTTTCTTTTTCTTTTTCTTTTTCTTTTCTGTTTGTTTATTTATTTATTCTCGTGTCATGACAAACGAAGCAAATGCTTGGCTGTGGCGTGGGTGTAGGGAAGGAGAATGGGCGGTGGTCCCACTTGTAATTAATTATTCATAAAACAATTGTATAATTACATGATTGTCCCTCAAATTACTTGCATATTCCAAGGATCTTTTGGTGCTTTCTTATGGCCGAGGGAGGTTTATCTTGATATCCATAATTCAGACGATTAGTTATAATAGGATAAGAATTGGATTAGAAGGATCTGACATGAATAAAAAGTAACATTTGAATTCAATAAGTTTTGAGAAATTCAATTAGAAATAAAATCTTTTTGTGTTTGGTATTTAAAAGAATTCATTTTCAATTCTAAATTTTGAATTCTACGGAATTGGAGCTAGTTATAGCAATTCCGCAGAATTGAGATGTAATTTCTAAATGAATTCCACAAGTATTTCACTAATTATAATAATGACAAAATTATCCTCATTTATTAACTAAATTATTTCTACAGCGGCAATAAATAGATATGCACGCTTGACCCTACTCTTTTCGCCGGTATGTTAACCTGATGTATATAGTTTCTCCTAAACTATGCATTCTGGGTGACTCCTAAACTAAGCGGCAACCTACTATTTGACAATGTAACTAACTCTCCTACTATTTCCAAATGTTTGGATAATAACTTTGTCACTTGCGTGTTTTAGAAGATGTATTTTCGATGAATATTATTTCTGCGGGAAATTAATAAGGGTATAGTTGGAAACTTATAATTTAATTCAATTCTGAATGTATGCCAAACATGGCTTGAGAATTCAATTCATTTTATTTCTAAAGAATCGAATAAGACATACCAAACACAAGACTTTATTTGATAATGAATTCTACAAAGTAATTCATTTTAAAATGAAATGAATTCTCGATTCATTTGATACCAAACGGTCCGTAAAACAATAAGACTGTTCAATTCGCTCACAAGTTCATAAGAATATCGAGCAAAACATTTTAGTAGTAGAAAACGAGACATAAAGTTAACTCATGAAGTCTGAGAAATCTACCTAATCTAGATCACGATAATGAAAACGAGACAAGTATTTACGTGGTATCCCCGACGAATTATGACTAATCCACGGAAAAACTTGAATTTCTCCAGCTGCCGCTCTTATCGATTATTCATTTATGTTTGGCCAAAGCCTAGTACATGTATTTATACGACCCTTTTCATCATAAACATCAACTAGGGTTAGCTCCTTTTCCTGCTCAGATGTCGACGTTTTACTCCCTACGTGGGCATGGGCTAACATGATGGGCCAGACCGAGTTCACGTCCAATACTCCCCTACAAGCTAGAGCGTGAATCTTACGAATGTTCAGTTTGGACAAGAGAAACCGAAGAATGGTCAGCGCCAAGGCCTTTAGTGATGATGGGTGCTAACCTTGAGAGGGAGTATGTCACTAGACTGAACGCGCTCACGAACAAAATAGCAATTCATTTCCATGTGTTTGGTGTTCTTGTGAAAAACAGGATTAGCAGCTATGTGAAGTGTTGCTTGGTTGTCGTAGAACAAAGGCGTGGAGCGACGTTGAGGCGCACCCAACTCACTAAGGAGCCACTGGAGCCACAGGACCCCACTAATAGTGCTAGTCATAGCACAATACTCAGCCTCAGCAGATGAGCGAGAGACAACACGCTGCTTCTTAGTCCGCCAGGAGAAGGGAACACCACCAAGAAGAACGGCGTAGCTAATGGTGGAGCGATGAGTACTCTCACAACCTCCCCAATCCGCATCAGCGCAAGGCTGCATCTATATGCGCCTGACTGCGCGAACCAACAAACTGGCTGAGTATGTTGACCCCATAAGTAAGATACAGACGAGTAACCGTCAAATGAAGTAAGCACCCCATGAGGCGACGATACGCTAAAAGATCAGGAAGAACCTCGTCGAGAGTAGTGGCCCGAGTCAAGTGGTGGTTTTGCTCGACTGAGAATAGACTAAGGCTAACACCCTTGACACCCGCATCTTCTAAAATTTCAAGCGCATATTTGTGTTGACACAAAGCAACACCATTAGAAGACCGAGCAACCTCCATGCCAAGAAAATAACAAAGAGGACCCCAAGTCTTTGGTGCTGAACTAATCATTGAGGAAGGTTTTAACATGCAAGATGAAGGTAGGTTCATTATCGGTGAGAAGGACATCATCAACATAAATCAAGGCCATGATGAACGTACCCCGTTGAAAGATATACAGAGAGTGATTGGCTGAAGATGCACGAAAACCAAGAGAATAGAGGACATGGGTGAATTTGTGGTACTAATTACGCGAAGCTTGGCGGAGGTCATACAACGATTTATGCAATCTGCAGACTCGCTTATCCCCGGGGATAGTAAAGCCTTGAGGAATCGTCATATATATCTCTTCCTCAAGATCACCATGGCGGAAAGCATTTTTAACATCCAATTGATGTAATGCCCAGCCGAGACTAACATAAATAGCAAGCAAGCAACGCAAAGTGACCAATTTTGCCACCGGGGCCAAATTATCGTGAAAGTCAATACCCTCAATCTGAGTGAACCCCTTTACGACCAAGCGAGCTTTATATTGCTCAAAATTGCCATCCGATCTAAACTTGATTTTGAAAACCCATTTGCATTCTATGGCACGTTTCCCAAGAGGTAAAGTAACGAGAGAGTGAGAGACCTTGTCCCATTTTACTGTAAAGCGTGAATTTCTTAAAGAATTGTTTCTCGCCAGCGAGGATCCAAGAAGGCTTCAAGAAAGGACCGAGGCTCTGTGTTAAGAGTAACTGCTGCAAGAAAAGAGTAATAATTAGGATGGACATTGTCATAAGAAAGAAATTTGCAAGACAGTATTTAACGGAAGGCGAGGGACATCCCTGATCATGAGGAAGAGACAGAACATGAGTGTTGTAGATAGTGTCGTAAGG